AAACACTGACTTAGATGACCATTTAATCTTAAAAACAGGAGTGTGCAGTATTAAACTTTGAAATGCGAAGTGACAAACGGAGGAAATGTTCCTTGGAACTAAAATATTCTGCCAACCTAAAAACGTATCTGAAACGTTAACATTGGTCTTCAGCTGTACACAACCCATAGATCGTCGTTTTGTTTGTATGCAGTTATCTGCTATAAGTTCCTGTTCAGTCACTAAAGAGTTCGTCTTCTCACTATGCTTTGTAGTATGGCCCTCACACAACTGGAAGAGCTCCCTTTAGAAACCAATCTTACAGCAGACAGCATGAAAGGGAAAATCTCACTGGATCTTTCATGCACACAAACCTGAAGCCTTGGGTTGTCAACTATGCTTCAGTTTCTGGTTGTGGAAACAAAGACCACAAAGGGGGTCCTGCCTTATAAATCACAAATCCAAGTATTGGAACATCATTACAGACAGCAAATCAGTGTAAAGCTGGCCATACAAGTATAGATTTTTGTTCAAGAATATTAGTTTGATTTTCTAGTCATTAGTGGGGTCAAATTGATGTTAGTTTTCCACAGCAGTGATGGGAAAATTCAAAGGGGCAGGAAGGAAAACATCTCAATCAAAAAATTTTCGGCCAGCGTATGTGGTTATCGTTCAGAAATTACCATTCGCTTTTAAAATGAATGTAAAAAACAAAAGAATTTTTGAACGACATTTGTCCATTCATCATAGGTTTAAAGAAATTTCATGCAACTTTTCTTACAAATATTCTCGTCGGAAAATCTACACGTGTATGGCCAGCTTAAGTCTGATATTGCCAGTAAATTTTTTCCTATAGCAGTAATTCGCTTATTTGGTTGCACTGAATAGTGCAGAAATGTAACAATTTTTGTTAGAATGGACTTTGGATCTTTCAGCAGTATTTTGAATAACGCAGAATTAAGGAACAAAATATGACAGGACAGCCTCACAGAGGTAATTTTTTTTTTATGGCCAGTCTGTTTCAAAAAGGCAAAAACTTCTATAGCAATTTCTTATGGGGCAAACTGTTCACACTTAGCCCAAGGATTAATAGCGACCACTAGCCTTCACAGGCAAAAGAACAGATTAATAACACAGAGGATGGTTGGAGATGGAGAGGCTATTTACTAATGAAAACGTGAATCAGGCGTTTCCTGGTGGGAGGAGCCTCTCATGTAAGCTGTCCTGGAAGATGACTTGGGAAAGTTCATTTTAACAGAAGTATTTCAGATTTCACTCATGGCAGCAGGTGGTTATACACTAAACAGACTCCAGCACAAAGCATACCAAATGATAAAGGCTCACTGTAGAAAAAAGGCCAACATTCAGTTGCTCTGTTCAGGTGTTTAGAATGGCTTCCTCGCTGGGAATTAACATGCTTTCTGCAAAACGTAGACAGCCAATCACCTTTCTAGCTTAGGCTGACCTGAATGACTGCCCAGCCAGAAGTCCTGCAAGAAAAATCAGGCTAACACCAACAGCCCCAGGGTCATGTTAGAAACCGTTTTGTTTTTTCCATTGGCAGGGTTGCTTTAACGCAGTCTTCTGCATTATAAACAATTCTATACTAAGGCCTCATGCAGACTGGGGCTTTTTTTCTTCTTTTTTAAATACACTTCTAGCAGAAGAGCAGCTTATAATTAAACAAAAAACAAACCTAGACTCATTTTTGGAAGTGCATTTAGGCATGTCAAGTGATTGGGCGTTTATTTCATTGGCCAGAATATTAATTTCTTCTGCCCATTGAAATGAAAAGATGCTCAAGCACTTAAATGTGAACATTTACACATTTGATTTTTTTTTTTTTTAATAAACTCTCCTTTTGAAGTCATTTTTCTGCCTCAACTCCTGTAAACATCTATATATGCACGGACTCATTGGCGAATATGGAGATGTATTTAGAGGCCAAAAAAAAAAAAAAGGCATTTTTGAACTCAAGTATGCATGAAGCCTAATGGGGTATCTACCGCTAAAATGTTTCAGTAACATGTAATTGTAACTCGTTTCAGATATACCTTTTAAACTTTTAAAAGGCAATTTAAATTCCATAAGGATGAGACTAATGGGGCTGAATATTTTTTCTGATGCACTTTGCATTTCCATGGATTTTTTTTTTTAATGCATGAGCAGCTAAGCTGCTGGTCAACATGAGTCATGGTAAATGTCAATGAGTTATTACACGCATAAACCATGATGGGCATTCACAACCAGTACCAGTGAATTGCAATGCATGTTTTAAAACATGTGACAACATGCATTTGCTGCACATCCTTTGTGCATATTTTTCCCCTTCTGAGTTTTTTGTTAAAATCAGATGTGAATAGAGCCCTATGGTTATAAACTTTGATGTAGCAAACGTTTAGCATGTCATTTATGGTAACTGTATTAAGTGCCCTATGTGTTCGTTGATGAACATAAACACGCATGGGCAGGAGGGACCTGGACTGGCTTACAAGTTGAAAAGTTAATCACCAAGTCCTTTTTTTTTTCAACAACAAAAAAAAGGCAGTATGAAAAAAACAAAAAAACCTAATCACAATGTAACGTGTTAAATAATGAAACCTACAATAAGCCACCAACAGTTCATTGTGCATACACTTTCCAAAATAAATCTCTCACAGAATGATATATGCTGCTGGCCGAGATAACCAGATCAGCAAAATCTTTCTACTACGAAGCCAAGAGAAATGCTTGAACTGTGTACCCACTCACATTCTAGAGGAATACAGAACACCAACTATGGGGTTTATTTATTACGCAGGAGGAAGAAGCTGCATTCTGCAGAAATGTCACAACCCTCTTTTGAAGAGAGCATATAAAAATATAGGCAATGTAGTAAGCCCTTTATAAGAACTATACACAGTGATAATTCCAGATATTTGCCAACCTCTGGAGGAAACACCATAACAAACCTTTTAACACCATCGGATACAAAGAAACATTGCGCATGAGAGCGCAAACTATCCATTTAAAGATCCTCACTTACATTCATATACTGAACACCGCTTCAAACATCGTGATTTATAGAATCATGAGTGATTTCCAATGGGCAGAGAAATTTATCAAATATTTTCTATTAATGAGACGGCAAAGTTTATTATTTAAATTTCTTTAATGCCATAAAATACTAAAATGTATGTATTTACAGAAATATTTTACATTTACGACTACAAAAAGTAGAATAAAAGCCAATGTAAAAAAGAACCCTCAAACTGGACCACAGATGCATAGAAGTCTGAGACTTGTCTGTACCTGCAGTGCACACATGGTGCACGAAACCATTCTCTAAGCCTAAATTCCAGATTTCCGGGAAACAGGCGGTATGAATGCAAATACAACTGACAAACTATTTTCTTGCATGCAGAGGAAGCTGACTCTACCTAGTCACCCCTGACAACTGCAGACGAAGCACTAATTCAAGAAACTTGCAACCATCCTTAAACGTCCACTCTTATGGTCAAAGAAACCATTTCCACCTTAATCCTGCATGGTTTAACCATTTTACCAAGGGAATAGAAAAAAGTCAATGATTATGGAGCGTTGGTAGGGGTGAATCTCACACATAATATTTGCAATTTGGTAATCCAAGATAGTGAATACCAACACTGACAAAATATAAATCTCCACTGTTCTAGTCAAATCCTGATATTTTTATTTTTCCCATAGGATTTTTGGGACAACATACATGCTCTTCTACATCTGAACTGACGAGAAAAGGAGGCATTTAACTATTCTGTTGTCCTAAGCTGTGAACATGGTAACTCACAAATAGGACACGTGAACGCCTGAATTATCTAACACAATGTATATCAATAACTTAGCAATTTAGAGCAAAAAAAAAAAAAAAAAAAAAATCAAGGCAGACCCTTCAAATCTGATACTTCAGTTATAGACAGACACTAGAAGGCTGAAATCGCTCATTTTATCACTACGCTCTCACTTCTTGCTGCTCTATTCATAGAGAAAATGACAGAAATCCAAAAAGGGCGATATCCTTTTGCGGACAAAACGTTAGCTGATCTGGATACCTGAAGCACAGGAGAACGTGTCGCCATGTCAAGTGGCTACAAATCAGGAAGGATGTCGTCGTTTACGTTCTGAAAATGCAAGTTGCCTGGCAAATTCCTCAGTTACTGACCTTAACAAGCATACAGATAAATATTTGTAAGAAATCCTTATCTGCTTATTTGTCCCTGGTCAACAATCTCAAGAACTGCAGGAAAAGGGTTGCCATGACAACCACATAACTAGTACATTTGAAGAAAAAAAAAAAAAAAAAGGTTTCTCTCACGACTTAACCTTCTAAATTTACCAGTGAAGGCCGCACACTTCAGCTGGAAAACGCAACTGTCATTTTAGTGCGGGAACCTAACCCTGCTACAGGTGGCCATACAGACCTCGTTCACATCATGTGTGCAGGAAAACTGACATGCAGATTTCACTTCGAGACATCAGTTTACATGCACACGTTGCAGATTCCTACAAAAAAAAAAAATCTGCATGTGATACCAGTGTTGTGGTGTGAACAGGACAAAGAGCGATTGATTTTGTCCAGCCCTTGCAAAAAGAACTGACATCTCTGCAACATGGTGTGAACAAACCCTTTAGAACATACTTTTCGCAATCATCAATACAATACTGCACACACCTGCCTGATAATCTCTCTACACTTTTACTCCAGAAACGTTGTAATGAGTTGGTTGGAAAAAGTGTCATCCCCCCACCCACCCCAAATCCACATTTATAACCCATAAAAATATAGAAGTTACATTTAAAGAAAAATAAAAAAGGGACAAACTTTGTACATATATTAAAAGAACCATGCCCAATAAAACGCCAGTAGGGAGATGACCAGCATGACATGGTTTTGACCAGCTTGGTGTTGTGATAAGCCTCTAGTACACGGCTCTGCCATGCAAGATCCAGCATAGAGGTTCATACATGTGGTGAGGTCACTTGCTTAGGCTGGAGGAAGAAGCAAGTCAGACCACATGAAATCTTGGGCCTGGTGTGGCGATGATATCACTGTATGGTTCCGCTTGGGTCAGCTCAATCGCCTGTTGCTTTTTAAGGACGAGGAAACTGTAGAATTTTGCTGCAGCTTGCTTGCGGTTTGTATTTCGGCACAATTCAAGCAAACTAATGGATTCAGCGCCCGTTCTGGCCAAGACTCTCTGTAAAATAAAGAGGAAAATAAATCTCACCAGTACCACAAAATGGACTGAACTCAGTCAAAAAAAAAAAAAAAAAAATAATAATCAAAGATTTTCCTTCACGCCATCCAAAATGACATCTTTAAACTATTTCCCACCCTAGCTAAAAATTTTTTTTTTTAAAAAAAAAGGGGCTTTAGATAAAAGTCAGGTTTTTTGTGACCCTCAATTTTCAGATTTCAGTGCTGTCACACTTTGAATGCCAATTTTATGGATTTGAGAGACACAGCTTTCTCTTGGTGGTATTTAACCACTTGCCTACTGGGCACTTTCACCCCCTTCCTGCCCAGGCCAATTTTCAGCACTGTTGTACTTTGAATGACAATTGCGCGGTCATGCAACACTGTACCCAAACACAACGGTTATTTTTTTTTTGAGACTGATAGAGCCTTCTTTTGGTGGTATTAAATCACCACTTGGTTTTTTTATTTTTTGCTAAACTAAAGACTGAAACTTTTGGAAAAAAAAAAAAAAAAAAAAAAACCCAGAAAAACTTAGTTTTGGTTATAAAATTTTGTAAAGAAGTAATTTTTCTCTCACTGATGTGAGCTGAGGCAGCACTGACTGACGGCACTGAAATGCAGCGCTGATGGGCACTGACAGGTGGCATTGATGTGCACCGATAGGTGGCACTGATGATCAGTGCCGACGTCTCCTCTGAAGAATGCCAATTACAGACTCTCTTCTCACGCTGTCAGCGTGAGGAGAGGACTGCCGATAACCGCCATTTCCTTTTTAACAAGTGATCAGCTGTGACTGACAGAGCCAACGTCATTGGCTCTTTACCCTGATCCACACTGCCAGCCTAGGTACTGAAGATAAACCGCTGGCTGAGGAATCCTCAGAATCCAAAGCTTCCAAGAACGTATAATTCCTGGGCCTCTGCTTTCCCCTGTTCCTCCTGCCGGTCCCTATAGAACAAAGTAGTGAAGTGGGCTTGGCAGAAAACCCCTGTACGCAGCAGAGGAATCCCACATTCCTGAAAGTAGTGGATTCTGAAAATTCAGATTTCTTCTCACTGCCAACACTCCCTGGAACCCCCAAAACCAGGAAGCTGAATATACAAATAACTGTTCTAGAGTAAGACCTCTGGCTATGTGCAAGGTGTGCCTCTATACTGCTTAGTGAGGTTTGTCATAGTTATGACTTCAGAGTCCATTGCCCCGTCTACACAACTTCAGATTCAGCTGAACTCAGAAGAGGTGGTGAGGTACACGCAGACACGTGTGCTTTTTGACAGCTCACTATGATTTCCATGCATCAGGTTTACATCAAGTTTTTATTTAGCAAAAAAAAGTACCTTTAAATCTAACTTACAGATGGCAACTTCACTAGAGCAGGAGAAAAATAACCAGTGCTTAATGCAAAATCTAAACATTGCATCAACTGTGTTCCCTAAAGAAACAACATCGGTGGATTGCTCTGACACCAGCAAGAAAAACAGTTATGACCCAATATTTGGGGAAAGGGGGTATGAAGTGGTACAGTACCTGAAGACCATGCAGCATCTGTTGAGTCCTCTTGTTCCACCTTCTCTCTTCCTGGTCCTGCTCAGTCCCCGTGGCATCTTCCTCCTGAAGCAACAACAACAGCACTTAGAGAAACAGCTGCAAGCAGTGATTAATATTCATAGGATAACAAGTGAAGGGGAAAATGAATTCATACTTTTCAATATCCCATTCTAAACTACCTGCTCATCTGATACACAGCAAATGAGTCTCCTGTCTCTGCGCTAAGAAAATATTTAGCAAAGCAGATTTTTTATTGAGATGTTAAAATCACAGATGTTTTTGTTGGCTGGTGAGGGAGATTACTATGTACCATTGTGTCATTTCAGGAAAGCAAACACAGGCAAGCGACCTCAGTGCCAACTTCCAAGCAATGTTGTATATATTTAAACAGTCGTTTACAGATGGAGCCAAACTTTGTACAATACAGAGGACCGAGGGCAAATAATCAACAAGGCAAACAAGTGTACAAATCAAAAAACAATTAACAAAGTGGACAAATGACAAGTAATGGATGTGTATCCATGCCTCTTGGGGACAAAAGGGGAGTCAAATTAAAAAAACAAAAAACAAACAGCAACTTTGTGGAATGATCATTTAACACCTTAAAAAGTGTAACTAAAGGCACTTTTTTAAATTTTATTTTTGTAGTGCAGATGGATTTGAATACTTGTCAGGTTTTTATTGCTGCCTTTCCCCTGCTAGGAAGATTGCCCTCACTATTTGTCCTGTTAACCATTATCACTGAAAATTAAATTAAAAGAAAATCCCAAATTTTGTGTTGTCTCAAGAACAGTAATAGAGGGGAGATCTTCCAATGTGGACACTAAATTCTGGTGACTTGGGGCTCTCCCCCAAGAGCCCCAGACTTTGTAGTGATTTGCTTTCACTTCATGGTGTTGGTTATGTCATGGGAAGTGAAGGTAAATCTTCCCAATGGGACAAAAATGTCAAAACACCCGACGGGTTATAATCCCTAAATAAGGCATTTGCCTACAGTTCTACTTTAACCCACTTGTCCTCCAGAAGATTCACCCCCCTTTCTGACCAGGTCATTTTTTGCGATACAGCGCTGCGTTACTTTAACTGATAATTGCACGGTCATGCAGTGCTGCATCCTAATGAAATATATGTCCTTTTCCCCCACAAATAGAGATTTGTTTTGGTGGTGTCTGATCACCTCTGCAGTTTATTTTTTGCGCTACAACCAAAAAAGATAGACAATTTTGAAAAAAAAAAAAAATTGTTTAAAACATTTCTTCATAAAATTTAGGCCAAAACGTATTCTGCTACATGTCTTTACTAGAAAAAAAAAAAAAAAAAAAACAAAACAAAAACCAGTAAGTGTATATTAACTCTTTTACGCATTATAGCTTCTACAAATGGCGGTAAACACACTGGAATTATTATACTAGTAATGGCGGCGCTCAGCGACTTATAGCAGGACTGTGGCGGGCATTCTGACACTGGAGATTTCAGTGGCTGATCCCACCCAGTTACACTAATACAGTGATCAGTGCTAATAAAAAGGCACTGGCACTGTACTAATGACACTGGGCAGGAAGGAGTTAACATCTGGGGCAATGAAAGTGTTAACTGTGTGCATTTCACCAAGTATGCCGTGTTGTGTTTTACTTGGGAAACATGCTGCTTTGTATCTCTGCTGTGTAGAGATACAAAGCAGCATGTCCATGCTGACAGAAGAGAGACCTGTGTTTACACAGAGATCTCTCCCCTCTCAGCCCTGCCGATGATCACCAAGTCTTGGCCATGAATCACCAGTCGGGACCAGATAATTGACATATCCAGCAGCCAACAGCAGCACAGGTAGGGCGGCGCACGCGCCCCCTATGCGGAAATGCAAAATCAAGTATATTACGTGATTTTGCGCAGTGGAGCCGCCCTGTAGCAGTATCTCTGCTATGAGGCAGCTCTTAAGTGGTTAATGGTGAAGGTAAAGCAAACCTTTGTTGCCTAAACCCAGGCATGTATGAACAGTACATATCTTTACTTCGTGTATCCAAGTTAATACTTGGGGGTTTTTTTCTGAGGAAATCTTGGACTTTCATTTGGTAGTACACTTTGATATCTAATATTTTAGTCAAAGAAAAACCTGGCCCAAATTGTAAACATAGTATTTTGACCTCGCCAGTAAAATCTGTCACCTGGGGTACAGTACAGAGTGCAGGCTTCTTTAAATCATTGCAACTGGGTTATATATACACACAGTATATTCAGGAACTGGACACTGGCAAAAAGCTGCTGAGACATCCCCCATATTGCACCTCCCACTCCCAGATAGTGCCAGTTATACAGTAAGCAACAGGGACATCATAACAGAGGAAGGGTCATGTATTATATTCCAGGAAAATAAATTTGTGGTAACCATTTTCCTGATTGCACAGTACAGGACACAGGCTTCTTTAAATTATGACTGGGACATCCAAAAGTATTTTAAGGGATGGGCAAATCAACAAAGCCAACAGACATACACAAGAATATGTCAAGAAGGCTTGACAGCTCCAAAAGAGAAGTTTGCAAAACCTTACACAGGAACTGGCATCAGAAGAGGCCTGAACATCCACTGGGTAGAACTTAAACTTGTTGACAGAAACCCAGATGGCCTGCAAATCAGACACGGATGCTGGCAACCCCGTACAGCACTAACAGATCTGGTGAAGTGTGCCTCAACAGGGAAGGCAGGAACCCTTTCAGACAAGTGTTTCCTGTATCACTACATCCTGGGTTCCCCTGCGGTGGCATTAACACAACCCTTTTACCCTGAATCAGCAACATGAGTTTTCATGGCGTGGACAGACCAGCTGCCAGCACCATAACAACCAATGACACTATGGCTAGGACGTATGGCGTAATTTGTGCTATAATGATGGCGGCCAACTCGCCTGCAATGCATGTCTGACCAAGACCAGCAAGCATGCAGGGCCACCCTCATCTTTCAGGAGAAGACAGAAAACTACAACATCCAGACCTGCTGGAGCTAAAAGACAGGGCTCTGATGTGAAGAGAGGACTGTGTGATTAGGGGCCTCAGTGACTAGGGGGACTCAAGTAAAAAAAAAAAAAAAAAAAAAAAAAGAAAAAAAAAAAAGGCGCCTCTGATGTGAAATACATTTCATCAAGACCTTTGCAACATTAAGATGGACATTTCAGTGATGCATACAAAGTAGGGGAGGAGGATTGAGGGGTGAAAAATGATACCAGAGTCCACTGTAAAGGCTTGACCTGGCGATGTCCATCAGGTTTGTTATTGAATCTGGATGCTACCAGTTGATCTAGTCTGGATGGACTTGTGTCTTTATTTAACCAGTCTAACTATGTGGCATCCCCCATCTGTGGCAAAGGGCTTGGGATACCTCTAGATAAGAGGACACACTGCCCTGGATCCAGATGTTGAAGACAGGGAATGGAACAAGTTTGAAAGCATGAAGGAGCCAGAGTGCCTCTGAGAAGTAGGGGCACCTCAAAAGGTGAAAACCCCTTGGCATCAGACTTTGCTGTTTGAGAGGGCCATGTACTCTCACGAAAAGTACATTCCTGTCTTGGATTTGGCATTGGAAGACAGAGGGATGTAAGGAACCCTCCTCCCTAACTTCAGATATAAAATGCACAAAAGCCTTTTCCTGGAGCAGAGTTTTCTGGGGCCTCCTGGGATCAAGATCAAGGCATTCACTTTCAAAAAGGGTAACCGCTCAAAGAGTTTCTTGCAGATCAGCATATCAGTATTTAGGGGAATCCCACACATGACAGAGAGATGAGACTTTTCGAAAATTTGGCAAAAGTGTATCTGCCAAGGCATTCAAGCAGAAACACAAGACAGCAGGTAAAAGTTCCAACTGACCAGGCACAGACATCCATAAACAAACAAAACCAGCGCTCAAATCCTCATGAAGACCAAAGGAAATTCAGAATGCCAAATGAGGAGGTGCTGCCATTCAAAGATCGGGAAATCTGGACACTGGTGAACAAAAGCAGACAAGGGCGCACTCTCATTGTGCATTACCATGGTACACCACGTATTTATTGTATAGAAAAATAGATATATACTCACAAACCAAAGGAAATTAAAAGCAGAATATGTAGTCCGCAATGACAGTCAATACAATGCTGTGCCCCTAATAGGGATAAGCTGACGCGTTTTGGGAGACAAACCCCCTTCCTCAGAGCTAAACAGTTTGTGAGTATACATCTATTTTTCTACACAAATATGTGGTGTACCTTAGACATCCATAAAGGATGGAGTTAGGGTCACAGGCTATGCATTTTGTCCAGATTGCAATAGTCTGGCAGATTGCAACAGACACAATGCATAGTAGGTTGGGCCATAGAAAACGTTAAAAGAGCCTTTAAAACTTATTTACCCGGTCCTTGAAAATGGCATTGTCATCCACGGAGACCAAGAAGGTCCTAAGGCAGGAGATGGTGGGATTTACAACAGGAGGTGCCCACTCATGAAGGAAACGTTCCATAATAAGATATTTTCTACTCCAAAATGTTTACATCAACAATCTGAGTGAGGACAGTCACAAATCAGCAGAGGCTATACCAGAAAATGAACCAGGTAGGTCTTGGCTGGTTTGGGGAATTTAAGTGGCCCTCAAACTGGACACCTTGGGGTGAGCAGCTTCAGGCTACTCTAATGCTAAGAAACAGCGTAACGTGCTAATTAGGGCCGCTCTAGTTTCCTTTAGCTTGGAAGAAATCTCTGTACTAGATGTGCCATTTGGATCCAATACCACAGAGTGAGATGCATTGTGTCCATTTACCTTCCATCTAGGTGGATCGGAGGGCAAATGGGTGTAAAAACAGACAGCAGAGTCCGTTTACTCCCAGTCACCGATAGAGCCTGCTCTGCTCTATCAGTGTCCGTACTGCAGAAACGAAGTGGACACAGACCTGCCATCCACCCATTCAGATTCGGGGAGACATCAGGGGGTCTAAAAAGAACTGTCTTTTGACAGAAAGGGGCTAAAGACAGTCTCTCTGTTGCCTGAGCCACACTGAAGATGAATGAAGAGACTCTTATCCATTCATAAATTTAAACATAGTACACAAGGGTTGATTTACTAAAACTGGAGTGCAAAATCTGGTGCAGCTCTGCATAGAAACCAATCAGGTTCCATGTTTTATTTTGTCAAAGCTTAAACAAAAAAAAAGCTGAGGTTAGAAGCCAATTGGCTACCATGCACAGCTGCACCAGATTTTGCACTCTTCGATTTTAGTAAAATCAACCCCAGTGTTCACCGTTTCATTTACAAACTGAAACAAACCTGGCAAACACGGTCAGTGATGAATGAATAATATGTGATCGGTACCTATCTCCTATAAAAGGCAATAAAAGTTCACTTGAAATATCCTAAAAATAAATATTAAGGTAGTAAGGAAACAGTAATGGAAAGCATCTGGCACATAACACTAGTTTTACTATGGAACCCAGGGGCCAGTTTGGCCACCCATCACAGAAAAGGGGCCGGGAGTAAAGCAACGGTTGGGTTAAGGGATGAGTTCACTTTTATGAGAAAAATCGCATATTTTTGTAGGAAAAATTAGCATTTTTCACAGGACCCCACAGAGCTTTGCATTCGTGACTAAGGTGCAATATCAAGCTCCTGCAAATACTGCCTACAGCTTTGCGCTCATACTTCTGGATGGGCTGTCCATTTTACAGCTGCGGAAACTGTCAAATGGACTACAAGCCTCTTAAGTGCTTTCAAATATTCAAGTTATCACATGTAGTGAGAATTGTTTAATGAATGTTTGCTCATTTGAAAATCTACTAATGTATGGTAACATTAACTTACAGACATCCATTCCATGCTGGTCCATGACTTGAGTAACACTAAACCACAAAGAAAATATATAACGTTTACCAGTCCTTAAATGTGGTGGCTACATAGGCTTTTTTCCCTCTTTTAAACTGGTGAGCCAGAAAGTAAAACACGTCCTGTCCTAGGGGACCTCCATTCTGGATGTAGTAAAGCAGACACCCTTGGACAGTAGCATTGTCAGTCTGTGGGGAGGGTAGCTAGACCAATAGATTTAGATGGGCTTGACTTTACAGTTACAGCTTTTTATTTTACCTTTTGGGATAAATAAAATCTTATCATTGGAAGCCCCAATGTCAGTGGTAAATTGTAATTGCTACTTTGCTGAACAATGTGGTCTGTTAAAAGGAAGTTGAAAAATAACACTTACCGGCTGGGTCTCCAGGTGAAAGGAAAAAAAAAAAAAAAAAAAAAAACACCCACACTGATACTGCCACCACATCTAAGATTTGGTGAGATGTAGTAAATACTAGTGGTGCACCGAAATGAAAAATTCTGGTGGCGAAACCGAAAATTCAGGATGTACTTGGCCAAAAACTGAAATGGATGTTTTTTTTAAAAATGAATACATATTAATTGGGGGGGGGGGGGGGGGGAAACCACCACTCATGATTTAACAAAAATATATACCCCAATTTTTATGTAAAATATGAAAGATGTTATGGTGAGTAAATAGATACCCAGCATGCCCTGCGCATGCTCGTGGAATGGCGGCAAACTACAGCACTCAAAAATCTCCATGAGTGACTAAAACTTTCTACAGGTTACCAGTTTAAAGTTAGAATTGTTGCTCTTGCTCTGATGTTCGTGGCGATACACGAGTGGTTTGAACGCCGTTTACATATGTGGGCATGGCCTACATGTGCTCACCACTACGTGTGAGCACGGGGGGCACTTTAAACTTTTTTTCCTATTTCACTGTCCCTTTAAATAAAACTTGTAATAATTTTTATTCCTATCACAAGGAATGCATGCATCTCTTCTGATAGAATTAGTGACAGGTCCTCTGTATGGAGAGACATGGGGTCAATAAGACCGCACATCTCTCCTCTACAATGTAAAGCATTAGATCAAAAAAATCATTGATCTAGTGCTAAAAAAAAAAAAAAAAAAAAAAAAAAAAAAAAAAAAAAAAAAAAAAAGGCCTTGTTTACAAGGTGCCAGAACCAGAAGTGACATCACTCACATCACATCATTTGGTGGTTTCTTAGGTAAGGCTGAGAACTACCAAGCAGCGGCAGGTTGCGGTAATGGGTTTTTTTTCGCCACCTGTATCGGTGCTTATTTTCATATTGTCCGAAACCTTTCGGCCACCGAAATTTCGGTGCACCCCTAGTAAACACACATTTAGTTTTTGGGTTTAACATAACGTTCGGTTAGTTTTACACTTAGCATTATTATTATTATTATTATTATTAATGGGAAATTTCATAAAAATTACCTCCTCCTCCTCTTCCTCATCTTTATCCTTTTCTTTATCCTTCTCTGGTATAAGATTGAGCTCTGGGATTAGCTCACTGAGGCTTTGAGGTTCTTCTGGTGGAAGTTCCACTGGTGGCATCTCTATTTGAGGCTCTGGTTCTTGCTGAAAGATTTAAAAACATGCAGGCATAAGGGGGGACAGGGAATACAAAAAAGGGACCGAAATGCGCTTCAAATACCAAACGAAAGGCAAGGCTTACAGGAATCAATGGCTCTGGTTCCATCTGTTGAGAGTCACGCTTCACACCTTGCGGCTGAGGAGGTGGTGGCATTACGGTTTCATCCAACTGAGTTCTGCTTCCCTCCATCATGGACTCCTGCAATCTACTGGCTTCTTCCAATATAGGTTGGTCTGAATACAAGAGGTAAACTTAGTGAGATTTCCCAAGTCATCAAGAAAAAGTTACAGCAATAAAGACTAAGGTTTATTTTCATCTTGTGATTTTAAGCACTGCAATACATCAATATTGTGCTGAAAAAAGTGTGAGGAACCCCAGTAATTGCAGTTTTAATGATCTGGCTGCTGAGGGCTTAAGTCAAATGAGGCGTATGCCACCTTATGGACTTTTTATTTACCAAATAGAAATGAACGGGTCAGAACAAAATTAAGAGAATGGCACTGTATCTAAAAATCTGACTTGGCAGCTTGTCTGTGTTCTGGTATTTTTATTTTAATAATCAGGGAAACTTACAAAAATGTATAGTAATAAAATCCAGTGCTCAAACACCAAAACGAAAACCGGTCTAAAAAAAAAAAAAAAAAAAAAAAAAAAAAAAAAAAAAAAAAAAAAAAATACATTTTGTGTACAGTCTTACATAATGGAGCAATTGTCAAACTATCACTGCGCTGAAAACTGAAAAAAATGGAACAGTAATGAAGGGTATTACAGGCTGGAGTGCATATCCAGGCCTGTTTGCAGAGGGTGCAAACTCAGATATTTAGATGAATTGTCACAGGCTTGCAATCAGTAGGCGACGTGTTACTGTCTACTTGACAAGCAGAATGGCTCCTGAGCATGCATCTGATAGAAGTTGGAGGTACATGGAAAGAGGCACGTTTGGACTGACCCAACTACTGTTGATTCTTTTTTACTATTTACATTTTTACTGAGTGCCGGGAGTACAACTATCACTATACTTCAGGAACGTTACTTTAAGGTCTCGAGCAAAAGCTGCAGAGTCGTGTCCAGCTATCCTCACCTCTTGCCCAATCATGACAGGTTTTGTATTATGTGAACCAATTTACAAAATACTAACTATTCTGTGAAAAGGACAGCCGTGGGGAAGAGCAGACAGTCACAGCAGATGTGTCTCTCCTGAAAAAACATTGAGTGTGGCAGCCGTACTTCCAGTGATCAGCAAATGGTATAGAACTTAAATAGTTTTTATATAAAAAAAAAAAAAAAAAAAAATAATCACACATCTTGAGGTGGAACTAGATTTTTTAAAAAGTTTTAGGAAGCCTCTTTAAAAAGTGAACGTATGGTGTAATTTCTTGGGTGTTTATTGATGCATTTAACAAGTTTTTCATATTATGGTACATGTGTGTTGAAATGTCACTCTAAAATAGGTGAGAAAAGCAATGCACATGCATCCAAGCACTTCCAACACACGTGTTAACAACATAACATAGGTATGGAGCAGCTTACAGGATACTACTCCGCCCCCCCCCCCCCCCCCAACACAAAAGATCAACTTCCTGCCCTCAATTTCCTGATGCAGTTCATCTATCCATCTACAGATCTTATATCATCAAGCGACCTTCCCTAGGGCTGTATGCTTCAGTCTTTCACTGAGCCAGTAGGCTGTATAGTACCATTAATGTTTGGCTTTTCTGTATTAATGACTATGTACAATGGTGGCTGGAAATGCTGCCCATTAGCTGTAGATCAGCAGTGGAAGACAGTTTGCATCAAGAAAGCAAGTGATGGGGGGAAGCAATTAGCTTGATATGTTGTAGAAGTGCAGGTTTTATGCATTCCAATGCAGTCAACAACCAAACATACCTCCGTTTTCTTCCTCCTGCATTAGGGATTCCAGGCCTAAAGTTTCAATACCAAAGCAATAGGTGCTCCTGAACACCAGACTGCTGACAGAAAGGTGATGCTCTATAGCTTCAAAACAAGCTGAAGCCCAGGACAGACCGTGGGGTGCTTCTGTTTATATTTTAAAGCTTAGTATTCAGATTTTTCTGAAACAGTTAAATCTTAAGAGACCCAGCTGGCACAGATGTCATCACCGTACTGTACCCAAGATCAGTATTATCACCCTGAATTGAGTGACAATTTAAAGCCACACAATGCTTTTTTTGGTTAAAAATAAAATAAAAAATGTAATGTTCAATAACCCAGACTCCCAAGGTATTCTTAGGCATAGGCTGATTGAGCACCTGAGCTGACTGGACCACTGGCCAGCTGTTTTGCAGACTCCCTTTGAACTCACCCACTGATATAGTTGAAGTGTTGTAAAGGCACAAGGTTTTTTACCTTCATGCATTCAATGCATGACAGTAAAAAAAAAAAAAAAAAAGTGTGAAGCAGCTACCCCAAGCGATGTGCATGGGAGCCTTGGCTATCCTGGGATTCTCCCTCCTCTCCCTAGCAACGGTAAACATTAGCTCCTGCTAATCACAGCCAGTGAGCCAATGAGGAGAGAGCGGGGACGGGGCAGAGCCGCAGCTCCATGTGTGAATGGACACAGAAAGCAGCAGCTTGGGATCAAGCCTGCGCGGGTGTCCCCATAGCAAGTGGCTTGCTGTGGGAGCAATAGGCAGGAAGGAGGGGCCTGGAGCGCCGGCAGGAGACCGAGAGGAGGAGGATCAGGGCTGCTCTTTGCTAAACCAATGCACAGAGCAGGTAAGTAGAACATTTATTTTTAAACAAAAAAAAAAATTCCTTTAATATTACTGCCATTAGATCAACTGGAGAATGACCCACTGGAACCTCTCAAAGTCACTTTGTATGTACAGGGTAAAGTGAAGATCTGTTAAATTGGAACTTCACTCTCAATCACCATTAACTAATGTTGGAGAGGGCGATATCTACCCTGTGTAAGCTCCACCACCACCCAAAACAGCAGCTTATTTAGGGTTAGAACTAAAGGAATGTGTAGCAGGTACGGAAAATAAAAGCAAGACTGGTAATGGGCTTGAAAAGTCTGTCCCCTTGCCTTGAATGGGCAAAGTGACAGTCTATTTACATTAGATACTTTACAAATCAGTTGCAATAAATATGTAACACTGAATCTAATCTCAAGCACTAAAGGTGCTCTTTAACCATTACATAAACCACATGGCTAACAGCATTTGCTCTTAGTGGGTTTCTGAACCACAGAATAGGACAAAACACTTACCAATAACATCCTGTTGTCTCAGCTCTTCTCTTGGAACGTCTGGATTCTCAAATTCCTTTAGGAACTCATCCAAATTATCCGCTTCTCCACCCTTTCTCCTCTTTCTGAGCTCATCGGGTACCAGAGGTGTGAGGCAACGTGTAAACAGCTGTCAATGCAATGAACAGAAGGAGCATATTTAAACACAAGCATACTAAAAACGGCAAATTCAGGCTCATTTGGGTCTGCTCTTACCTTCAGGAGCCTAGGATTCCACAAAGGCTGAGCAGGAAGGGAGAACAGTTTTTCCACCCCTCCTGTCTCTTTCCACATCATTAGTTTCTTAGTCGGAGGTGCCAGGTCCAGGGTTGTCACAATGTCAGAGTAGTCACTCAGCTGAGCACGAATGGTTTTGCTGTCCAACTCCTTCACACTGTCCACGATCAGCTTTCTCTTCCTCTTGGCTTTAGTTTCTTTGACTAAAAGATGCAAAGAAACAGTTAAAACACAGGTATACACATAAAAACACTTACGATCCAAACTTCCATCCAATTATCAAGTACTAAAAAGGATTCACCTGTAATATCAATTGGCTCCAGAGCAAAAGCTTCCTCCTCATTTGGGACCAAGGTAGTCTGATCAGTCATAGTTGGCAAAGGCTCCACAGGATCCACAGAATCAGGACTGTCTGCCCCACCAACTGGGGATAAAGACCGTATATTAATGAAACAGTTAAACTGATAATGGGACAAGCATTAAAGAATGCCGAAAATAAAACACACTTTATGCTACTGTAGATTGACTAAAGCTGAATTACTTACGTGACACATTATCATCGTCATCCAGATCGTCATGTGCGGGCTGTACAGGCATTGTGACACCTTCTTCTGGGAGTGTGGGTGGGTCATCAAAGATACCCCCTCCACCATCACTTATAAGCTTGTCATCTGGTAGATTAAAAACGGCAGTAACTATAGATTCTCTGAACAGGCGCTTAGAAGCAATATCACAAGAAGAAAATACTGCATCAACAGGCATGTATATCTCTCTCAGCAAAGGTGAGCCACATGGACTGCAATCGTTTACTATCCATGCTTCAACATACAGCAGACTCTCACATGCCACTCTATATAATCCAATGAATAAAAAAGGGAAAAAAAAGGGGGCACAAGTCTGCTTTTTTTTTTTTTTTTATACAAAGTGCCATGTTACATAGCACTGAGAATTTCTGGCAGTGTTTGTGTAACGAAGCTTTGTTTATGAACGCTTTGCATTTGAACTCTATATACTATTTATATGCAGGCCCTAAAGAAAACCCATTCCATCCAAAGAAACAGAAAGCAGGTCAAGCAGAACAGTCATCTCCAAAAGCACCATTACACTAAATTGAAGTCCACATTCTTGTATTTCAAGCACACTTTAAAAAACAAATTAGGAAAAGAATAAATAAAAATGGCTTGTCTACGCGAGCCCTTAAGCATATCTAAAAGCAAAAAAAAAAAAAAACTTTGTTTTGGAGAAAGTCAGAAATGGTTGAACTTCTGTCAGCCTTACCGACATCCATTTCTCTGGTAATGAGATACCCAATTTGTGTTGATGACCAATTTTATAAAAATAAGCACTGAAGCTGAGATGTCGCCAAAAAAGGAAAAGGAATCTTCCAATGAGGACACTTGTTACCATGGCATAGGTTTAGGAGGGATTTTACTGAAAGCAAAACATTACCCATGACTTAATTAAAAAATGGTGCCTAATATGGAACATACATTCCACATTATTATGCTACCAAAATTAGTGTGTATTGTAAATTGCCTCCAGCATTGCTTCTATTTCCTCTTGCTGGAGGCTGCCATTTTACTGAAGCCCAGATCTCCTCAGCAGCAGTAAATCTTTAGGCTCTCAGGATGACCTCTACAACTTTGTAACAGTGCCTAAAAATAGAGTAACTGAGCATGTGCAGAGCAAGATGAGAGAGTATTACTGGATTTTAAACAGTAGGGGCACTTGGTTTTAAATCACTAGACCTGCAAAATGGGTCAGTCTGAAGTAATCTAGCAGAACCTAATTTTCTAACTAAAGATGCACTTTAAACTTAAGGAGATTGCAGCTTTTGACTAGAGGGGGGGAAAAAAAAAAACCAAACACAAAAAACACACCACATCTTATGCTCAACTCATACCCAATATTCCTCCATCATTTCCATCCCCAAAGTTGTCATCTTTGTACTGGTCATCATATTCCAAGTGGTTGCTCTTCTCGTTCAGCTGGCTGGCGTTCTGTTCTGGCTCCAGTAAGAGATTGGAGGCGCTGGTACTGACCAACATGTCATCTTCAAAAGCACTGCCTTCACGCATCATCTCTCGGTCATCCATACCGAAGTCACCTGAACAATGCAAAAAGTCAATGTAATATTATTGAAAAAAAGCACAGATGGTGTCAAAAGGAACAAGTTCATGTGAAGAACATTTCTGATGGACATTCAGCTCATTAGAAAGCAATCCCAGGATAGCCATCAACTCATCGCATATAGACATCACCTGCCCCTCATAATGCTGTTAAAATAAAAAAAAAGGTTCCTTTGCAATGAACACACTAAACACGCACCTCTCCTGCTGCTTTTGCCACCGATCTACGGTGTTATGAACCGAATCTACTGCCTGAAGACTCCTCAGAATCAAATATTTCTGGAGTGTTTGCCTGGTCCCTCACTGCATTCATCTGTTGGATCCACAAATTTACCACTGGAGCCAACGAGAGAAACCACAGCGGTCTTTTTCATTACACTGAAGATCAGTGGTAGGTGTGGAGTATTTACCATCTTTTCACTGAGAAACCTTTAGAGACCGTGCATTAAAGAAACTCAAATCTTTTACAGAGCAATCTACACCCTTCCCATTGTTAGGATGCAGAGATTTGGGTCAATCGTCTGACCAATTCAAAGCCTTCCCCACTATCCAAAGGCTGATAAAAAGCCACACAACGAATGAGATGAAGTTCACAATAAGAATTTGACAGATTTCATTTAATACAAAGTAGGACTGGTATCATATTTTGTTTTGTACAAAACTTGAAGAAAAAAAGTACTCACCAAAATCATTGTCTTGCAAGATATTGATGTTTCCAACCTCTTCTCTCATAGTGATCTCCTCCACTCTACTCTGGTTGAGGCTGAACTGCTGGGCTACATCAATATCACTAAGGAGAAGACAGTTATGTCATGTTAACCAATTTAAGACCAGGCCTTTCCATGGCACTTTGTTTACAAGTAAAAATCAGAATCTAGTGCTAGAAAATTACTTAGAACCCACAAACTATATTATATATATTTTATTTATTTTTGTAATCAGAGACCCTAGAGAATAAAATGGTGGGTGTTGTAATTTTTATGTTACACAGTATTTGCGCAGCGGTTTTTTCAAACTATTTTGGGAAAATAAACACTTTAATGATTTTTAATGCACAAAAAAAAATCAATACTCAATTGTTTGGTAAAACATAAAAGATGTTACGCCAAGTAAATAGATACCAAATATATATATTAACCACATGCTACAATTTAAAAGCCTTTGCAGGTTACAACTTTAGATTTACATAGGTGGTCTGGTGCTAGAATTGTTGCTCTCGATCTGACATTCATGGCGATACCTCACGTGTGGTGCAATTACTATTTACGTATCAACGCAAGACCGACGCGTGCATTCACTTTTGCGCACAAGCAGAGGGACAAGGGAGCTTAAAAATAATTTTACACTACTTTTTGTTTGGGCAACTTTATTGTCATCACAAGGGATGAACAACATTACTTAGGAGCATGGGCAGTGAACAAGTACTCTTTAGACCCCACATTTCTCTACCTTTAAAAGCTTCAGATCAAACCAAGATCAGTATGATCCGAAGCTTTTTTCAAACAAGTAATGGTTTGTTTACAACTGTTAAAACCAGAAGTGACAAAACTCCCATTGTTTCCGGTTTCTTAGACCATAAAGATGATCGAGCTGTTTTTGTCCCTGGTGAGACAGGAGAGCTCAAGAAGGAAGCAGGAAACCCCTACCATGGACTAAAAAAAAAAAAACATTTCAGTGGCTAATTAGCTGCTAGGATTACAAAAAGTGTTCCGCTGGCCCTAAAAACAATACCAGGATGATGCCTGCAGCTATCATCCCGGTATAACCACTTAAAGTCCAGCAATGTTACCATGCACCATTGGTCTTCAAGTGGTTAAGCACACCAGCCATTTGTCATCTACAGTTTAGTTTGTTTAAATACAGAATTATACCGAACACTGGCCATTCACGGACAAAAAAAAAAAAAAAAAAAAAAAAATTAATAAGTTAAATGAATTTGCTTACTCTAGGTCTGGCAATGGTTGATCAAAATCATGAAATTCTTCTGGCAGAGTGATTGCATTGTATGCGGCTTCTCTGTTTTCCTCCGGCAAATCCACCACCCCTAGAAGAAAGCAGCAGTCCATGAGACACACATTACAAACTGAAGTTGTTAAACTGCAAGCTTACAGAGTTTTATTTAAGCGGATGGCATCTGCGTCTGTTCAGGTTATCCTTTCCAGCTGGACCAATGTTAGTTTTACATACATACATACATACATATATATATGTATCACACACTATATTGCCAAAAGTATTGGGACACCCCTCCAAATCATTGAATTCATGTGTTCCAATCCCCTCCATGGCCACAGGTGTATAAAATCAAGCACCTAGGCATGCAGACTGCTTTATAAACATTTGTGAAAGCATGGGTCGCTCTCAGGAGCTCAGCGAATTCAAGCGTGGTACCGCGATGGGTCCATCTGTGTAATTCCCTTGCTACAAAATATTCCACGGTCAACTGTTAGTGGGATTATAACAAAGTGGAAGCAACTGGGAACAACATCAACTCAGCCACCAAGTGGTAGGCCACGTAAAAAGTACAGAGCGGGGTCAGTGCAACTGTCTGCAGAGTCAATAGCTAAAAGACCTCCAAACTTTTTGTGGCCTTCAGATTAGCACAGCAGTGCATAGAGAGCTTCATGGAATGGGTTTCCATGGCCGAGCAGCTGCATCCAAGCCTTACATCACCAAGTGCAATGCAAAGCGTCGGATGCAGTGGTGTAAAGCACACTGCCACTGGACTCTAGAGCAGTGGAGATGTGTTCTCTGGAGTGCCGAATCACTTCTGTCTCACAATCCGATGGACTTGTCTGGGTTTGGTGGTTGCCAGAACGGCACTTGCCTGACTGCATTGTGCCAAGTGTAAAGTTTGATGGATGGGGCCTATGGTGTGGGGTTGGACTTGGCCCCTTTGTTCCAGTGAAGGGAACGCTTTAAGGCATCAGCATACCAAGACATTTTGGACAATTTCAACTGCCAACTTTGTGGGAACAGTTTGGGGAAGGCTCCTTTCTGTTCTAACATGGCTACGCACCAGTGCACAAAGCAAGGTCCATAAAGACATGGATGAGCGAGGCTGGGGTGGAGGAACATGACTAACCTAAACCCGATAGAACACCTTTGGGATAAATTAGAGTGGAGACTGAGCCAGGCCTTCTCATCTGACATCAGTGTCTGACCTCACAAATACGCTTCTGGAAGAATGGTCAAACATTCCCATAGACACTCCTAAACCTTGTGGACAACCTTATAGCGAATAAAGGTCATGTGCGTGTAAAGGCAGGCGTCCCAATACATCTGGCAATAGTGTGCGTGTGTCACACCTTTTCAATATGTGTATTTTTCTGACATAGATTGACTCAGAGGGGTAAATGGATGCATGTCTGTTTACATTTGCCCATAAACGAACATTGAGATTTTATCCAGATGAACCTCAAAAACAGACAAGGTGGATCTGATCCGCCCACACCCATGTGAAAGACCAAGGTATTGAAAAACTATTACTACATTGATGTTTCATGTGCCGCATGCGACCCTCTCTTTCTCCTTCTCTGCCGTTAAGTCCTGAAGTGACAATTTGCAGGTGCGGCCCACAGTAGACTTCGTGCAGCCCCCCTTGAAGATTTAGGCCCCTCAATTCAGTCATGTTTATCAGAGTTTGACATGCTTGGCCTAGTAAAAACCGGTCATGAGAAAGGAGGACTGTGCTTCCCATCTTATAAGTTTTATTTGATTATTAAGTTTAATACTTACAGTCACTCACCTGAAACAGTAATGCAATTCAATAGCTCTGGCTTTATTACTGCATATTTGGTGACTGGAAGTGATGAAGCCAAAAAGACAGCCAGACATTTGTGAAATCATTTATGTCTTAGCGGGTTTATTTAAAAAAAAAAAAAGACCCCTTCATTAACAGAGATAAGCAGATTGCATCTGATCCCTGCTTATAAGACCAATGCACGTCCGGGAGCTGCATCCAGCTCCTGAGTCAAAACAAATATTGGTAAGAAGAAGAAGTCAATCATCGTGCTGTGATAATGATCTGCACTGGGACCAACAGTCAGCTGGAGGATCTGGACCTAAAGCAGAGTTCCACTCGACCTATCAAAAAAAAAAAAAAAAGTCAGCAGCTATAAAAACTGTAGCTGCTGACTTTTAAATAAACAGCCACTTACATGCCCCTCGGGCCCGTGGTGTGACCCCCGCAGCTCGCTTCATCGGCCGTCCTGTATTCCAGGACAACGACATCTTCACTGTGGGCACCCGGCTGTGACAGCTTGCGGCTTCACTGCTGGGTACTCACTGCACATGCGCGAGTAGTGCTGCGCTTCGTCAATGGTCCTGTAGTCTTCTGGGACCTGTCAAGTATCCCAAAAGACTACCGGGAGGGAGGACACCTTCCGTTTCCGATCACCCAGGTGATCGAACCGGATGTGGGAGTGGGTACCTGTCAAATTCGGGTACCTGCTCCCCCCAGGTGCCAATCCTTAATGGGGAGCAGTCCTTAAAGCGGAACTTCCCCTTTTGGGTGGAGCTCCGCTTTAAGTGAGAAGAGCAAGCAGCGGCCGCAGCATTGGAAACATGTTACATGTTATACCCCAAAAATAGGTGGAACATGCAACATGTTCCGCAGGGTGAACTTATCCTTTAAAAACACATACATGAGTGCAAATTCCTGGACACACAAGTTACACTCAAGCTTACACAAGTACAGCATATACCTGCACACAGTATCCATTACTATGGGTGGCTCTACATGCCAGTTGTGAATTCTGGGTGGAGCCTAAAGAGAAGCTTGCCTTCCTATTCAGAACATGGTGATAGTGCTTTCCAATATCCAGACCTTACTCTTCAAAACATGGATTACTCAACCAGGCTCTGCTCCCTTGTCAATATAGGAGTCCACCCTGAGTAAGCTCCTGTATCAGCACTTAATCAGGTCAAAGACACTACTATCCCCCACATGGTGGTGTCACATGTGGGCTATCAAACCAGTGTCACATGAACCAAAATGATCAAAGTGTCGCTTTAAATACTTTAGATTATATAATTAGAGTAGTTAATTTTCACATCATACAAATGTGAAGACTGAAGCACTTTGAGGACACTTGTCCAGTTTGTCATTTGAAAGCAGGATTATATGCAACCTCAAATCACATCAACCAAAAAAAAAAAGAAGAAATAAGATTACAATCTCTTTACAAATTGAAATCTAAATGTTTTAAAGGATCAGTTAGTGGCTGTATCTTATCACATACAAGCAGCACACACTGCATCTAGCTTTCTGTGCTGCCAAGATAACACAATGACATTTGCAGGATATAGGGCGCTCAGGAGATAAATGGTACACAGGTCATTTAATTGAGGGCTAAAGATATAGCATCTAAACAAAAATCTATGTTCTTTCCTCCTTGATGGAAAATAGCTGTGTGATAAGCAGATTTACAGAGACTGAGGAGCGTCTATACTCACCAGGCCGAAAGGCCATCTTTATTTTGATGAAAGCTTCATTACAGTCAGCGAGGAGGTACTTTGCCTTCCTGTGGTAGATTCTGACAACACCCAAAAGGAGATGCCCGGAAGTACGCAAAGCCATTTTTACCTAGAAGAAAATGTAAGTGGTTAGACAACTAGGAAAAAAAAAAAAAAAAAAAAATTAAAAAACTGGCAACTCTAACCAGCCCAGCACATACCTTTGGTGAGATGATGCTCTCCACACTGCTCTCCAGGTTGCACTCAAACACATGGGCTTTAGTCAGTTTCTTGTCCCAGTGGGCCGCCAGCCAGATTTTGGCTAGCGGCCCTCTCTTGCTCAGAACAAAATGTGCGTAAAACATCTTCCCGTGCTACTTGAGCCACAGAGGACTAACCTGCAAAGAGAGGGGGGGAGAAAAAAAAAAAAAAACCCTGATGAATGCAATTCCTAAGATCAAGGTAAACCACACAAATTCCCATTTTTTGCGTATTTTTGAAACTAAATTAGCAATATGAACAAATCACAAGAGCTAGGCAGCCACCGTGTCTAAACCAGTGGTTGCATCCCTACGAAGTATAGGGCCTTATCTGCTGTCCCTGATATGAAAGGGACACAATGTTGATTTATGTGATGTTAAAGGACTCTCAGATTGACAAATTAAAGGAAATGATGTTCAAAGAACGGGGACATTGGGGGTGTGATTGGACACTGAAGACATTCTACACAGAGTGAGACTGAGAACTATGCAAAAACTAGTAGAGATCACTGCTATTACCCATTTACAAATCAATTCTTCCACTCCCTACTACAAGACTGCTTGAGTCCAAGGGCTGCAAGTGGCCCTGGGGTGTATGATAGATTCATATACATGCCCAAGCATTAGGTAAATATCTGCTACCAATGGAGCCCTGGTATTCAGAAGCATGTTTTTATCTCCATATATGAAACCCCTTACATGCATAGGTTAGTGGTGCACCAAAATTAATATTCTGGTGCCGAAACAGAAAATTCAAAATGCACTTGGCCAAAAACCGAAAATGCGTAGTTTTTGAAAAAAAAAAAATATATATATTTTTTGGGAAAAAATACTTTAACTAGTTGCCAACCGGAGATAGCCGAATGATGGCTGCACTGCGGCCGGCCAGTTCTGGGAGGACATTATATGACGTCCTCCCAGAACACGCTCTCTGTGCTCCCCCGGGGGCATGCACCCGGCGGTTTCTGTGATCACTGTGTCCTACGGACACAGCTGATCACGTGATGTGGTAAAAGGCCAATCACAGCGGCCTTTTATCCACGTGATCAGCCGTGTCCAATGATACGCTGTCCACAGGGAAATGAGAGCGTGAGAAAAGTACTGCCGAGAACTGGCAGTTGTTAGAGCAGGGATCGGCACCGATGGTCAGTGCCCTGATGATTGCTGCCCGCCAGTGCCCAGCAGTGCTGCTTCAACGCACATCAGTGAAGGAGAAAAATTACCTGTTTGCAAAATTTTATAATAAAGCAAAAAATTAAAAAAAAAAAATTGCTTCTTTTTGTGTTTATAGCGCAAAAAGTAAAAAACACCCAGCGGCAATTAAATACCACCAAAAGAAAGCTCTATTTGTGAGAAAATTTTTTTTTTATAAAAACGTCATATGGGTACAATGAGTACAATGATGCATGACCACGTAATTGTCATTCAAAGTGCGACAGCGCTAAAAGCTGAAAATTGGCCTGGTAAGGAAGGGGGTATAAGTGCCCAGTAGGCAAGTAAAAAAAAAAAAAAAAATATATATATACCCCAATTTTTTGTAAACTATGAAAGGATATTACGGTGAGTAAAAAAGATACCAAACATGTCATACTTTAAAATTCCACACGCTTCTGGAATGGCATGAAACTGCGGTATGTTAAAAATTTCCATGGGTGAAGCTTAAAAAAAATTCTACAGGTTAGCAGTGTAAAGTTACAGAGGAGGCGGGGATGGGGGCACTTAATTTTTTTTTTTTTTTTAATTTAAATGTTTTGTTTTTTTTCTTTGCACTGTCCCTTTCAAAATTTTTTAATCACTTATTCTTATCACAAGAAATGCATGCATCCCTTGTGATAGAAATAATTAGTGATAGGACCTCTTTGTGGAGAGATGTGGGGTCAATAAGTCCCCACATCTCTCCTCTGCAATGTAAAGCATTGGATCAGAAAAAAAAAAAAAAAAAAAAAAAAAAAAAAAAGACCCGGAACCAGAAGTGACTCCAAGGCTATAGAGATGAGTGGAGGCCATCTTTCCTTCACTAATCTCACTGGGATCATTTGATGGTTTCTCAGGTAAGGCTGAGAACTACCGAGCGGCAGCAGCGAGCAGGAGGGCTTTATTCTGCACCTGTGCTTTTATTTATATCGGACGAAACTTTTCGGCCACCAAAATATCAGTGCATTCCTAGCATAGGTCTCTCTAATGTAGCCACCCTACTAAAGTCCTTCATAGAATCTAATCAATGTTGACAATCCTCAAAGAAGATTTCAGAAAAGACCCTTAAGCAAGTTAAATAAAACAAAAAAAAAAACCCCAAAAGTCCCCTAAAATAACATTGCAATTACCTTGTGTAAATCTATTTAAAAGTCCTAACCTGTTTTGAGGCATTGTTCATCATGTAAAGAACTCCAGGAATGACACCTAGTTAAAATCTGCTGGCCTTCTACTAGTCAAGTGTATTGTATGCAATCTCCTGGAACTCTCCATTTACAAGTTACAATTTTGAGTGCCAATAATATGGCTACTGCTATACTTCTGTTGCTCTGACAGGAGACCTTCAGGGATCCTACTCAGCAGCTGTCCTGTCAGGGGTGGGCAGTGTGGCTGCTGTATAAGAAAACCATGTTTCTTCGGTTGGGAGTCCCTGAATATGGTGGAAACTTTACTATCTGCTCTCAGTGAAATTGTGCCTGTGGTGTGGAATACACCTTGTTACAAATAACTATTGCTAATCCAGCAAATTTTAAAATATTTCCTGGATTTCTCTTGTTTTTCAACCAATGCTTTGAAATTTAGTGTTACTAAACCCACAGCAGTAAAATCAGTCTGTATATGCAGTAAAGAGTGCTTGGTATACTCACTATGGAACCTAAGGGGTTAATTCTCTGCATTGTGTAATAAGGCTGTTTGATCCTGACTTCTCTGATCCTCTCCTTCTTCCAGTGTCCCCCCTCATATCCTGTCTAGAGTCACTCTGCACACTCCTTTAGGTTTGTATTACTAGAGGAGGGTTTTATTTTCTTGGGAGAGTAATCTGATCAAAGGACAATCAGCACTGTCCACACAGAGGTCAGGAGCTCAACATCCTCCTAGAGCAAAATGAAAACTCCTCCTACAAACTTTAACATGTGCTCTGCCGAACACTGATAGAAGTCTCAAAACTGCTGATGAGAAAAGGTATTTAGCAGTTTATTTTTACTAAAATAATTACACTTCCATGTTCTGTGGGAGATCAGATGTAGTGAAGGCAGGGTCCTGGGTTTAGTAACACTTTAAATTTAGTTGGTCAGACAGGAATTGCTCAAGTTTAGGCTAAACGGTTCAATGTGGAGGATCAAAAGCCAATTCAATCAAATACAATAGACAAGATTGTATAAAGCAGCGACTGAAAGATTTAATGAAGTGATGTGTGGTTTGAATGTACAGTTCCATTTAGAACAGCATGAAGTGAGACATGCGGACTCTGTACATGCACTCATTTATCTATATTGTAAAGCGCTGATCAAACTGTTGGCGCTATATAAATCCTGTATAATAATAATGTGCATTTTAGTCAGAATTTTTCTCATAGTGCAAGTCCAGCCAAAACGTTGTTATGGACAGAGTGAGGAAGCGTTAGAAGAAATGGAATTTTTACTTCTATCCAGAGCTCACTTCCTGTGATAATGGCTTCACTAGATAACGTGAAAATCTACAACAGAGATACAGACTGTAATCAGATAGGGATACTAGGCTTACCCGCTTTTACAAAAAAACAAAAACAAAACAAACCCATCATGGTTGGGAGATTTACCCTCCCTTCCAGTTAGGTGAACATGCTGTGATCACTAGGACAGGGAGGGAAAATCAAACAGCCTCAGGGAGGAAAAAAAAAAGCCTTGAATGAACATTCTGTTCACTTGAACCTGGAAGCTCCAGCCAGCCCAACTATATCAACTGGACAAGGTCAGACAAGAATTACATAGAACCAAGAAAGCTGCAGAGTATGTATTATATGAATGCACAAGATAGCAGGACCAACCCCCCAAAAAATCTTCAAATATATTAATAGTAAAAAGGTCCGGTCCGAACATGTAGGTGCTTTACAAAATAATCTAGAGTGGGTGACTGGGGACATAGACAAGGCAAATTAAATCCCTTCTTCAGCTCTGTGTATACACAAAAGGAGTATGGGGGAGCTCTTATCCATAATGGGCATGGAATTGACACAAATGATCCACATTGGCTCACAATTGATATGATCCAAAAATATTTAGACAGAATAAAAAGGTGAATAAAGCACCTGGACAGGATGTCCTACACCCACGGGTCCTTAAACAATTGAGCTATGTCATTTCAAAGCCATTGTTTCTCATTTTTAGGGACTCTGACTGGCATAGTACCACTGGATTGGTGTAAGGCCAATGCGATGCCAATATTTAAAAAGGGGTCAAAATCTTTACCAATTATAGACCTGTTAGTTTAACTTCTATAGTTGGGAAGATACTGGAGAGTTTAATAAAAAACCACATAGACGAGTTCTTGATGGAAAAAATTTTTTAAGCAACTGACAGCATGGATTCGCGAAAGACAGAAGTTGTCAAACAAATCTGATTTCTTTTTATGAGGAGGTGAGCAAAACCTTGGACAGAGGGGTGGCTGTGGACGTGGTATACTTGGATTTTGCAAAAGCGTTTGACACAGTTCCCCACACAACACTAATTTGTAAAGTAAAGTCTACAGGCTTGGAAAAATCTGTATGTAAATGAATAGAAAACTGGCTAAAAGATCGTATTCAGAGAGTAGTGGTTAATGATTCATACTCTGAATGGTCTGGGGTCATCAGCGGTGTACCCCAGGGTTCAGTGTTGGGACCCTTTTTAAACCATATAGGGTCTGAGATTAAAAATCCCATTTCAGTCTTTGCAGATGACACCAAGCTGTGCAGTGGAATAACGTCCTTACAGGATGTCTCCAACTTACAAGCCGACCTCAATGCAGTTTAATTGGGCAACTATGTTGCAAATGAGATTTAATGTTGATAAATATAAGGTTCTGCAATTGAGGGCTAAGAATATACATGCATCATACATACCAGGGGCGGGGGGGGGTACAACTGGGGGAATCAATGGTGGAGAAAGGATCTA